AACCGCCCCTTCAGCTCTTGTGTCGACTTATCATATATGGTTGCTTTAGCCTGTAGCTTGGAGGCTGCCGTCTGGGTGGCACAGAGCAATGACTCGGCTTCATCCCTAGCCTTAGCAGCAATCTTCATCTAACGCTTGGAAGCAATAAGGGCTTTATGAAAATAAACCCCGGCCTGCGAACGAAAGATACTTGATCGGAATAGGAAAACATGGAGGAATATATATAAAAAGGAGAAGGCCAGAAACCATACCTTGGCAAGATCGATGAATCCCTTCCCTCTGCCAAATCCGCTGTTTGTTCTAACCCGGTAAAGTCGGGAGATGTTGGCCTCTGGGATATCATGTAGGGGGTGATAATCGAGTACTTGGATTGCTTAAGGGTCGTGTAAGTTCACTTTCCGAATTGATATTTCTCCCCTATGCCTAGGTTCACCATGAAAATCATTTTCATTTACAAATTTGAGCTTGGTTTCTAGTAAATCAGAATGAACTTCAACAGGCAAATGCTCCACCTCATTTGGAGCAACATCAGGAGAAACAGTAGGCAAGGAAATTCATTTTCAACAAAAATGACATTTCTACTCATCAACACATTGAAGCAAGTTTCACTCCTACACCAAAGCCTATAACCTTTCATGCATTCATGATATCCTAAGAAAACATATTCATTAGTCCTAGGTTCAGATTTATCATTCTCATGATTCACATAAGCAGCACAACCAAACACTCTCAAATTTGGAAAGTGAAGTGGTTTGCCCGTGAACATAGATTCAGGGCATTTCCCTCCTAAGGGAACAGACGGGGACAAATTAACCAAATCAACAACATAACAAACAGTCCCCCCAGAACTTATTAGAGAGCCCAGATGAAGCTAACATAGCCCTCACCCTTTCTAATAATGTTCTAACCATCATCTCAGCAACCCCATCCGGTTGGCGTGTGGAAGCAACATATTTATGCATAGAAATACCCCAAGTATCACATAAATCACCAAGCTCACTATCACAAAAATCAAAACTGACATTGATCCTTAAAAAATTTATTTTCTTACTGGTTTGATTTTCAACAAGGGTTTTCCAGTTTTTAAACTTATCAAAAACTGCAGATTTATTTTCAATCAACAAAACTCACACTTTGTTTGAAAAATCATCAATCAACGTCAGAAAATAATTTTTCCCACCATGAGTGGAAACACTATAAGGACCACACAAATCAACATGAATACAATCCAGCACATTAGTACACTTAGGCAGATTAGGAAGAACAACTCTAGACTGTTTTCCTAGCACACAGGGTTGCACACAAGTTGTTTTTCATCTCAGCTTTAAAAACAACTAAACAACCCTTCACAACTTTCATGATTCCGTTTCCCCATTTTCCCTTCAAACCCTCATATTCAAGAGAAGCACAAGATAGCAAATTATAGCACAGTTCAGGAACATGCCTAACATTCTTCAAAGTAAGCACATAACCATAAGAAAACCTAAGGCATACATCTCCTATTCCTAACACATTGCATTTCTTTTCATTTGCCAAAGACACAAACCCATGCTCAATCTCTCTATAGTTTGAAAAAACATTTTTCAAAGGGGGCATATGAAAAGTCCAGCCAGAGTCTACCACCCAATCTGATTTACCCAAAAAATCAGATATAACAGAACTTAAGTAGTCATAATCACATAGATTTCTCATCATAAAAACATCACCTAAATCGTCTACACATGTAGTCAAATTAACATGCTCACTATGCTTATTTTCCCTAGATTTAGGACAGTCTTTTATGAAATGACCAGGTTCATGACAACAATAGCAATGCCTCTAATTAGACCTAGACTTAGATCTGTGTCATCTACTATTATCTCTATCCCTCACATGCATAACCTCCTCGAATTTTCTACCCTCACCCATCTGTTTTAAATCTAATTCCTTACTCTTAAGACCATTTACCACAATGTCAAGAGTCACATTATCTCTACCATACTTAATAGCAGATTTCACATCACTAAAGGAATCAGGAATAACATTTAAAAGAGCAATAGGGGAATAATCATCTAAATGCTTTTTACCATAATATCCAAAATAAGTTTGGTAAAAACATCTAGATTTTCCTCAATATCGTTAGACATATCTAGTCTAAATTTGAAAAACTTTTCAAGTAAAAACATCCGGTTAGGCAAAGAGGTTTCAGTATACAGCTCATCTAATTTATTCCACAGAATTTTAGCACTCTCTAAAATTCCAACTTTTCTAATCACAGAGTCAGATAAGTTCAAATAAATCACAGAGCATGCATTTTCATTCATTTCAGCCCTTTTATCTTCTGTGTCAGAAATCAAATAGGTTTCACCAACTGCTTTAAAACATTTTTGTTGGATTAAAATACATTTAATTTTTTGCTTCCAAATGCTAAAATCAAATTTTCCATTAAATGGAGCCATACCATACTCATTATAAGCACACATTTTCACATAGAAAAACAAGCAACAAAAGAAAATGTAAATTTTGCCGAAAAACAATTTAAATATTTTTAAGGCTATCAATATACGAAGCAACTAGCGTGATAAGTCCGTATTTTGACACGTATTTGATGCGTGTTGGGATCGGTTTTGATGGTTTTCCCTAGCTTTAAGGTGTTGCAAGTCTCAATTTTAGCTCAAGTTATGTTTATCGGGCATTGGTTCGAGTTTTGTGTTGTTTGTAGTCAAAATCAGGGAATTTGAGCCCGGTACCGGCACTTGAGGAACAATCGGGATGATTTGAGAAGCATTTGAGAATGATTTGATAGCTTTGGAGGTCACCGGAAGATTCACGATGAAGATTTGAAGGAAAAAAGAGCTCTAGGATTGGCTTCGGGATCAAAAGAAGATGAATGAAGCTTGAAAACGACGATCAGAATGACCTTCTGTCAATTGTTCAAGCATATCTCTTTGTAGGAAGAACCAATGGACACGATTCAAGTTGAATATGAAAGCCAACTTCAAGATCTACAAATCATATGAAGAAACCTTTGCGAGAATCTGAGAGGAAGAAGGTGAAAACAGACGATGAAGTCAGATGATCTCTGCTGCGTTTTCAGAAGAACACCTTCCACCGTTTTGATCATATCTCTTGATTGGATGATTCAAATCACATTCGGCAAATTGGAGTGGATAGAGGACTTCATTATCTACAACTTTCATGAAGGAAGTTTTGTCAAATTCGGAAGTTAAGTAGGCACGATCGTGCCCTCAAAGTCAGACACGATCGTGCCTGAAGAGAAAAGCACCGGGAAGCTACTGCCATCCAGGCACGATCGTGCCTGGAGGGAGGCACGATCGTGCCTGCCCAAAATGCGCGTTTTTGCTCCGGAGGCACGATCGAAGGCACGATCGTGCCTGGCATCGTGTCTGGCTCCGAAAATCCTAATTCAGCTCAAATTTCACCCGATTTTTCTATTTAAACAGCCTGTAAACCCCCGTTTTCAAGGGGGGAGCTTAGAGAGAGTGCCTAGCACGAATTTTAGAGGGCTTTTCAGCCTTGTTCATCAATCTTTTGGGATTCTTTGTAAGTTCCACCTTTTTAATTAATGACAATTAATTCTTTTTATTCCAATTCTATTGATTCTTCAATTATGAATTGTGAGTAGTTTTAATTAGGGATTTGGGATTGATGAAGGGGTTAATCATGATGTATGGCTAGATTCTTTTCGGTTTAATTGCATGAATGCCGTTTAATTTGTGTTCGAATAATTTAATTGATATCTCTTGTAACCTAGAATCGCGACTAGAATTACAATTGCATGTAGAATAAATTAAGAGAGATCTAATTTGTTCTAGGACACATTCACACACACTTAATCGTTCGCTAAGAGATTAGTAGCGATTAAGGGGCCGTAAGCTCGCTCGTCTTGGCAATAATTTAGGATCCTGTCGCATGAGAGATCAGCCTGGTCCCCTAAATTATTGTACTCTACGCCGCGAGAGCGGTAAGAACTTAGTAATGATTAGCTAGGCTCAATTAAATTAATTTCATGTAATTAGGCCTGATCCGCCAGAAATCTGGTTACCCCGGAATCGATCCCTATTCCCTTCGTCATTAATTAGAAAGAACCCCCTAATTTAATTGTTCGCATTAGTTTTATTTTCCAAACTAACCAATCTCGCACGACGCTTTTATTTTATTTTCTTTTTAATCGCTGAATTTAAATAATTCTTGATTCCCTTTTGTCCGTCCCTGTGGAGACGATACTCGTACTTACACCACTATATTACGATCTATTTTAAGTGCGAGAAAACTCAAATCAGTTTTTGGCGCCGTTGCCGGGGACGGTGTCGGTTTTAAGGGTTAATTAATTTCAGCGAGATTTTTTTTAGTTAGTTTTCTTTTTGTTCTTCGTAGGATTTTTCTGGGCTAACCTTTCAGGTATTTTTCCAAGAGGCATGAGATGAACCCATTCAGCCGAATTCCTGGAGGAATTCCGTACCCTCAAACCTCCATGGAATATTCACCATATCCGTCATACCCTCCTTACACTCCTCCTCCTCAATATTACACATCTCATCAAAATTCTTCTCCTACACCACAAAATTTCCCATCTTCCTATTCTTACCCTCTTCCAAATACGCAATACTCTCAATCTCATTCTCCGAATCAATATCCTTATCCACAATATCCTCGGACAAAACCAGGCTCCATTATGGAATTTCTCATTCAAACTAAAAGTCCCGAGGAATTGGTTGATTACTTTCCTAAGAATAGCATTTGTAACTTTTGTGGAGGTGGTCACCATTCATGTCTTTGCCCCATTCCTCCATACGACCATCCTTACTGGGCAACTGCATACCCCACTTCGTCCTCCCCACAACTCACAAGGACAAATGTTTCAATCACTCCTACGTCTTTGCCGAGTTATGCGCCACAGGAATCAGACGACGAATGGGAAGAGATAATTTCAGAGAAGCTGTCTGACCTGGAAGAAACACTCAAGAAATTATTACAGCAACAAATGCAAATTCAACAGCAACAAATCCAAATTCAACAGCAAGCAGACTCAAGGATGCAAAACATGGAGAATCAATTGGGGCAGATTGCAAAGGCTTTATCTGAGGAGTCCGATAGATCCCATCCTAGCGACACAGAAGCCCAACCCGAGGAGACCAATATGGATGATCACGTGAGCGAGTCAGACTATGATGGTGTGAATATGATGGATGATACACTTCCTGATGTTTTTGAAGACCCTGATGAGAACGGTGTTAACGAGAGTTGGGATGCCTTCATGGGGAGTGATACAGAGTCTGGAGGAGAGGTTGTGAATGTTCATGATATTTGTGAGGAAGAAGAAGACTTTTGTATGGTGCAATTTGATTACGAGGATGAGAGTTTCATACTTCACTTCTGTGCTGATGAGGGTTATGAAGACCATGTGCTGCCTTCGTGGGCTGACGAATTTAAAGATCTGCGCCACTTAATGACATTTGTTGAGAGGAAGCTGGAGACGTTGACTATAAGTGCACCACTACAGTCTTTGCTATTGGAGAGTCTATGGGGTAGTTGTGTCGGGCAAACGACGTTAAAAATAGCGCTTCTCGGGAGGCAACCCGAGCTTTTTTCTGCTTTTGTTTTTGCTTTTGCTTTGTTTGTTGTTTGGTTGTTTTGCTTTGTGTTTTTTTTTTTTTTGCAGCTCAGGGTCTTGTTGTTTGGATGATGTGCCGAGGATTACATTGACTCAGTTTAGTTCTGCATCGACCAATGCCTTAGGGAAGTTTCTTTGAACTCTTTTACTCGCTTGTTGAAATATTGACTTGAGTTAAGTTGAGCATGCGTGACCCTATCCTCTTTACCCCCTTGTGCATAGTGCATTTTTGGTCATCGAGGACGATGCCAAAGTTTAAGTGTGGGGGAGTGAATTGGGCATTCGGGCAGTAGTTGTTACATGTGATTAATTAGAGTTAGCATGCGCAGGTGTTAGTTGTATATTCATAGGAAATTCGTGTAAAAAATTTTGAAATTTTTTCTTTAAACTGTGTCTTTGTGAAGTGGCTAGCATTTGACTATACTTTTAGAGCATCCTTGAAGTGTTTAGGCTTAAATTGCTTGCACTATAATCTAGTTGTTGAAAGGATGAAGGCATTAGTCACCCATTGAATTAATCCATAAATCATCCACCCCACCTGAAAAAGTCCTTTAGGAAAAGCCATTTTGAGCCGACCATTCTTTGTTTACCCAATTAATTTAGCTCCATAGCCAAATGGCCTGTGTTCCTTACCCGTGAATATTTCTGACTTAGTCTTGATGTTTAGGGAATTAAGGGATTAATTTGCCAAGTTTAGGGAATTTTGTGTAGGAGCCATTTTTGGCACTGTTCCTATGCCCCAAATGGGGTAAGAGCAGTCACTTTTTAGGAATATGATACTTTTGAGGATTGCATTGTAGGCATGGATTCACTTTTAAATAAATGAACCTTAATTGCTATTTTTCCTTGGTGAGGCCGAGATTAGAATGGGGTAATGTCTAGTGAGAATCCGAAAGGTGAAAAATTAATATAGCTAGACCTCTTACTTTGCGAAAAAGGGAATGGGAGCCCCAGTCAAAAAGCGTAAGATGAGACTTGGGTATCTTTCGAAAGAAACGGCGTTCTCGTGCCAACATGACAAGGAAAACTAAACTTTAATTAATTGAACTTGGAGGCTATCTCAAAATTTAGCTTTAGTCCTCCGCGTACTTCAAGTATACGTCAAAGCGCAAATGTGCCGAGACGGTTTAGCTTAGTTGTACACCATGTCTACTCTTTGCATAGGTTTAAATGATTGTTCCTAAATTGTGGCCTACTGAGTTCCTTGATCCTAAGAATAGCCCTGAAGTTCCTGAATGCATTGAGTCTTTGTTAGAATATTCCAATCTCTCAAAAGAAAGGGACTGTTTATTACCATTCACCATTCACCATCACCTTCACAAGTCCATCTCATCAATAGCTAGTTTATTTGTGTATGCTGTCATTACTCTAAGGATGTTGTGAATACTTTGTCAAATAGTTTAGCTAGAGTACAAAGATGTAGTTTAGGGAAGAATTTTCTTGGTTTAGTCTGCCTGTTCTGTGAATATTCCTTTAACTACGTGTGCATGCTAATTGTTTTGATTCCGTGTGGTGATTATCGTAAGTCCCGTTGTTCAGTTTGCTTGAGGACAAGCAAAGGCTTAAGTGTGGGGGAATTTGATAAGTCCGTATTTTGACACGTATTTGATGCGTGTTGGGATCGGTTTTGATGGTTTTCCCTAGCTTTAAGGTGTTGCAAGTCTCAATTTTAGCTCAAGTTATGTTTATCGGGCATTGGTTCGAGTTTTGTGTTGTTTGTAGTCAAAATCAGGGAATTTGAGCCCGGGTACCGGCACTTGAGGAACAATCGGGATGATTTGAGAAGCATTTGAGAATGATTTGATAGCTTTGGAGGTCACCGGAAGATTCACGATGAAGATTTGAAGGAAAAAAGAGCTCTAGGATTGGCTTCGGGATCAAAAGAAGATGAATGAAGCTTGAAAACGACGATCAGAATGACCTTCTGTCAATTGTTCAAGCATATCTCTTTGTAGGAAGAACCAATGGACACGATTCAAGTTGAATATGAAAGCCAACTTCAAGATCTACAAATCATATGAAGAAACCTTTGCGAGAATCTGAGAGGAAGAAGGTGAAAACAGACGATGAAGTCAGATGATCTCTGCTGCGTTTTCAGAAGAACACCTTCCACCGTTTTGATCATATCTCTTGATTGGATGATTCAAATCACATTCGGCAAATTGGAGTGGATAGAGGACTTCATTATCTACAACTTTCATGAAGGAAGTTTTGTCAAATTCGGAAGTTAAGTAGGCACGATCGTGCCCTCAAAGTCAGACACGATCGTGCCTGAAGAGAAAAGCACCGGGAAGCTACTGCCATCCAGGCACGATCGTGCCTGGAGGGAGGCACGATCGTGCCTGCCCAAAATGCGCGTTTTTGCTCCGGAGGCACGATCGAAGGCACGATCGTGCCTGGCATCGTGTCTGGCTCCGAAAATCCTAATTCAGCTCAAATTTCACCCGATTTTTCTATTTAAACAGCCTGTAAACCCCCGTTTTCAAGGGGGGAGCTTAGAGAGAGTGCCTAGCACGAATTTTAGAGGGCTTTTCAGCCTTGTTCATCAATCTTTTGGGATTCTTTGTAAGTTCCACCTTTTTAATTAATGACAATTAATTCTTTTTATTCCAATTCTATTGATTCTTCAATTATGAATTGTGAGTAGTTTTAATTAGGGATTTGGGATTGATGAAGGGGTTAATCATGATGTATGGCTAGATTCTTTTCGGTTTAATTGCATGAATGCCGTTTAATTTGTGTTCGAATAATTTAATTGATATCTCTTGTAACCTAGAATCGCGACTAGAATTACAATTGCATGTAGAATAAATTAAGAGAGATCTAATTTGTTCTAGGACACATTCACACACACTTAATCGTTCGCTAAGAGATTAGTAGCGATTAAGGGGCCGTAAGCTCGCTCGTCTTGGCAATAATTTAGGATCCTGTCGCATGAGAGATCAGCCTGGTCCCCTAAATTATTGTACTCTACGCCGCGAGAGCGGTAAGAACTTAGTAATGATTAGCTAGGCTCAATTAAATTAATTTCATGTAATTAGGCCTGATCCGCCAGAAATCTGGTTACCCCGGAATCGATCCCTATTCCCTTCGTCATTAATTAGAAAGAACCCCCTAATTTAATTGTTCGCATTAGTTTTATTTTCCAAACTAACCAATCTCGCACGACGCTTTTATTTTATTTTCTTTTTAATCGCTGAATTTAAATAATTCTTGATTCCCTTTTGTCCGTCCCTGTGGAGACGATACTCGTACTTACACCACTATATTACGATCTATTTTAAGTGCGAGAAAACTCAAATCAGTTTTTGGCGCCGTTGCCGGGGACGGTGTCGGTTTTAAGGGTTAATTAATTTCAGCGAGATTTTTTTTAGTTAGTTTTCTTTTTGTTCTTCGTAGGATTTTTCTGGGCTAACCTTTCAGGTATTTTTCCAAGAGGCATGAGATGAACCCATTCAGCCGAATTCCTGGAGGAATTCCGTACCCTCAAACCTCCATGGAATATTCACCATATCCGTCATACCCTCCTTACACTCCTCCTCCTCAATATTACACATCTCATCAAAATTCTTCTCCTACACCACAAAATTTCCCATCTTCCTATTCTTACCCTCTTCCAAATACGCAATACTCTCAATCTCATTCTCCGAATCAATATCCTTATCCACAATATCCTCGGACAAAACCAGGCTCCATTATGGAATTTCTCATTCAAACTAAAAGTCCCGAGGAATTGGTTGATTACTTTCCTAAGAATAGCATTTGTAACTTTTGTGGAGGTGGTCACCATTCATGTCTTTGCCCCATTCCTCCATACGACCATCCTTACTGGGCAACTGCATACCCCACTTCGTCCTCCCCACAACTCACAAGGACAAATGTTTCAATCACTCCTACGTCTTTGCCGAGTTATGCGCCACAGGAATCAGACGACGAATGGGAAGAGATAATTTCAGAGAAGCTGTCTGACCTGGAAGAAACACTCAAGAAATTATTACAGCAACAAATGCAAATTCAACAGCAACAAATCCAAATTCAACAGCAAGCAGACTCAAGGATGCAAAACATGGAGAATCAATTGGGGCAGATTGCAAAGGCTTTATCTGAGGAGTCCGATAGATCCCATCCTAGCGACACAGAAGCCCAACCCGAGGAGACCAATATGGATGATCACGTGAGCGAGTCAGACTATGATGGTGTGAATATGATGGATGATACACTTCCTGATGTTTTTGAAGACCCTGATGAGAACGGTGTTAACGAGAGTTGGGATGCCTTCATGGGGAGTGATACAGAGTCTGGAGGAGAGGTTGTGAATGTTCATGATATTTGTGAGGAAGAAGAAGACTTTTGTATGGTGCAATTTGATTACGAGGATGAGAGTTTCATACTTCACTTCTGTGCTGATGAGGGTTATGAAGACCATGTGCTGCCTTCGTGGGCTGACGAATTTAAAGATCTGCGCCACTTAATGACATTTGTTGAGAGGAAGCTGGAGACGTTGACTATAAGTGCACCACTACAGTCTTTGCTATTGGAGAGTCTATGGGGTAGTTGTGTCGGGCAAACGACGTTAAAAATAGCGCTTCTCGGGAGGCAACCCGAGCTTTTTTCTGCTTTTGTTTTTGCTTTTGCTTTGTTTGTTGTTTGGTTGTTTTGCTTTGTGTTTTTTTTTTTTTTGCAGCTCAGGGTCTTGTTGTTTGGATGATGTGCCGAGGATTACATTGACTCAGTTTAGTTCTGCATCGACCAATGCCTTAGGGAAGTTTCTTTGAACTCTTTTACTCGCTTGTTGAAATATTGACTTGAGTTAAGTTGAGCATGCGTGACCCTATCCTCTTTACCCCCTTGTGCATAGTGCATTTTTGGTCATCGAGGACGATGCCAAAGTTTAAGTGTGGGGGAGTGAATTGGGCATTCGGGCAGTAGTTGTTACATGTGATTAATTAGAGTTAGCATGCGCAGGTGTTAGTTGTATATTCATAGGAAATTCGTGTAAAAAATTTTGAAATTTTTTCTTTAAACTGTGTCTTTGTGAAGTGGCTAGCATTTGACTATACTTTTAGAGCATCCTTGAAGTGTTTAGGCTTAAATTGCTTGCACTATAATCTAGTTGTTGAAAGGATGAAGGCATTAGTCACCCATTGAATTAATCCATAAATCATCCACCCCACCTGAAAAAGTCCTTTAGGAAAAGCCATTTTGAGCCGACCATTCTTTGTTTACCCAATTAATTTAGCTCCATAGCCAAATGGCCTGTGTTCCTTACCCGTGAATATTTCTGACTTAGTCTTGATGTTTAGGGAATTAAGGGATTAATTTGCCAAGTTTAGGGAATTTTGTGTAGGAGCCATTTTTGGCACTGTTCCTATGCCCCAAATGGGGTAAGAGCAGTCACTTTTTAGGAATATGATACTTTTGAGGATTGCATTGTAGGCATGGATTCACTTTTAAATAAATGAACCTTAATTGCTATTTTTCCTTGGTGAGGCCGAGATTAGAATGGGGTAATGTCTAGTGAGAATCCGAAAGGTGAAAAATTAATATAGCTAGACCTCTTACTTTGCGAAAAAGGGAATGGGAGCCCCAGTCAAAAAGCGTAAGATGAGACTTGGGTATCTTTCGAAAGAAACGGCGTTCTCGTGCCAACATGACAAGGAAAACTAAACTTTAATTAATTGAACTTGGAGGCTATCTCAAAATTTAGCTTTAGTCCTCCGCGTACTTCAAGTATACGTCAAAGCGCAAATGTGCCGAGACGGTTTAGCTTAGTTGTACACCATGTCTACTCTTTGCATAGGTTTAAATGATTGTTCCTAAATTGTGGCCTACTGAGTTCCTTGATCCTAAGAATAGCCCTGAAGTTCCTGAATGCATTGAGTCTTTGTTAGAATATTCCAATCTCTCAAAAGAAAGGGACTGTTTATTACCATTCACCATTCACCATCACCTTCACAAGTCCATCTCATCAATAGCTAGTTTATTTGTGTATGCTGTCATTACTCTAAGGATGTTGTGAATACTTTGTCAAATAGTTTAGCTAGAGTACAAAGATGTAGTTTAGGGAAGAATTTTCTTGGTTTAGTCTGCCTGTTCTGTGAATATTCCTTTAACTACGTGTGCATGCTAATTGTTTTGATTCCGTGTGGTGATTATCGTAAGTCCCGTTGTTCAGTTTGCTTGAGGACAAGCAAAGGCTTAAGTGTGGGGGAATTTGATAAGTCCGTATTTTGACACGTATTTGATGCGTGTTGGGATCGGTTTTGATGGTTTTCCCTAGCTTTAAGGTGTTGCAAGTCTCAATTTTAGCTCAAGTTATGTTTATCGGGCATTGGTTCGAGTTTTGTGTTGTTTGTAGTCAAAATCAGGGAATTTGAGCCCGGTACCGGCACTTGAGGAACAATCGGGATGATTTGAGAAGCATTTGAGAATGATTTGATAGCTTTGGAGGTCACCGGAAGATTCACGATGAAGATTTGAAGGAAAAAAGAGCTCTAGGATTGGCTTCGGGATCAAAAGAAGATGAATGAAGCTTGAAAACGACGATCAGAATGACCTTCTGTCAATTGTTCAAGCATATCTCTTTGTAGGAAGAACCAATGGACACGATTCAAGTTGAATATGAAAGCCAACTTCAAGATCTACAAATCATATGAAGAAACCTTTGCGAGAATCTGAGAGGAAGAAGGTGAAAACAGACGATGAAGTCAGATGATCTCTGCTGCGTTTTCAGAAGAACACCTTCCACCGTTTTGATCATATCTCTTGATTGGATGATTCAAATCACATTCGGCAAATTGGAGTGGATAGAGGACTTCATTATCTACAACTTTCATGAAGGAAGTTTTGTCAAATTCGGAAGTTAAGTAGGCACGATCGTGCCCTCAAAGTCAGACACGATCGTGCCTGAAGAGAAAAGCACCGGGAAGCTACTGCCATCCAGGCACGATCGTGCCTGGAGGGAGGCACGATCGTGCCTGCCCAAAATGCGCGTTTTTGCTCCGGAGGCACGATCGAAGGCACGATCGTGCCTGGCATCGTGTCTGGCTCCGAAAATCCTAATTCAGCTCAAATTTCACCCGATTTTTCTATTTAAACAGCCTGTAAACCCCCGTTTTCAAGGGGGGAGCTTAGAGAGAGTGCCTAGCACGAATTTTAGAGGGCTTTTCAGCCTTGTTCATCAATCTTTTGGGATTCTTTGTAAGTTCCACCTTTTTAATTAATGACAATTAATTCTTTTTATTCCAATTCTATTGATTCTTCAATTATGAATTGTGAGTAGTTTTAATTAGGGATTTGGGATTGATGAAGGGGTTAATCATGATGTATGGCTAGATTCTTTTCGGTTTAATTGCATGAATGCCGTTTAATTTGTGTTCGAATAATTTAATTGATATCTCTTGTAACCTAGAATCGCGACTAGAATTACAATTGCATGTAGAATAAATTAAGAGAGATCTAATTTGTTCTAGGACACATTCACACACACTTAATCGTTCGCTAAGAGATTAGTAGCGATTAAGGGGCCGTAAGCTCGCTCGTCTTGGCAATAATTTAGGATCCTGTCGCATGAGAGATCAGCCTGGTCCCCTAAATTATTGTACTCTACGCCGCGAGAGCGGTAAGAACTTAGTAATGATTAGCTAGGCTCAATTAAATTAATTTCATGTAATTAGGCCTGATCCGCCAGAAATCTGGTTACCCCGGAATCGATCCCTATTCCCTTCGTCATTAATTAGAAAGAACCCCCTAATTTAATTGTTCGCATTAGTTTTATTTTCCAAACCAACCAATCTCGCACGACGCTTTTATTTTATTTTCTTTTTAATCGCTGAATTTAAATAATTCTTGATTCCCTTTTGTCCGTCCCTGTGGAGACGATACTCGTACTTACACCACTATATTACGATCTATTTTAAGTGCGAGAAAACTCAAATCATAGCGCGAACACGTGGGGAGTATTAATGAGCACCAAACTCAAGGTCAAACCCCTTGTTCTTCCGTATAAGCACAAATAAATAATAAATTTTCAGCACTAAACAACAACACAACAATTCTATCAATTTTAAAAGCAGTAATAAACCTGATAGAGTATATGGGCCCGGACCCCATGGCCCACATACTCAAGTCAACGATGGCCAGAAGAACACCCACGTGGCCCCCTTCGGCCAGTGGGTCCGCATCGGCCAAAAACCAAACCGGCCCAGGAAGCACGCATGGACTCCCGGGACCGCATCGGCCCATGGACCGCATCGGCCATGGGCCGCATCGGCCAAAAGGCACCGCATCGGCTCGGCTTCGTACGGGCAGAATGCTTCTCTCTATTTTATTTACTAAGTGTTGTACACAGCCCATTAGTGGCCCTATTTCGCCCAAAGAAGGCATGATTATTGTAATGGGCCTCCTAAGCCCAGGGCTAGGAGCCCAAACCCACATTTTTTCCTATAAATAGACCCCATGGGGCTAATTATGGGGGGTTCCAAAATTGAGAAATATCATTACTCACTTTCTCTCTCTAGCTCTCACTTCTCTCTAGGATTAATACTCCTATCATTTGGTGCTTTCATTGAGAGCCTAAGAACAGATCAAGTGAGTACCCCTCGTCGCTACTAGACGCAACAGAATGACAAGAACTAGGTCAAAGAACACCGGTAGGAACGCCCCTCTGAACCACGAAGGGCAGGGAAACGTTGCTGACAACGTCCCCAATGATCTCATCATCCAGGATGAGAATGCTCAGGAGGTCGAGCACGCAGCGGCTGACCTCCGCGTCCAGCTCAACAAGACTGCCCCAGACGCCCGCATCGGGCTCGAGGACAGGCGCAATGCTGATCGCGCTTCGGGCCAGCAGGTTTCTCAC